GGTCAATGACATGAGACAAAGTATATGTGAACTGCTGTATGGAAAGTGAATTTGCTCTGTAAATCTTCACCCAAATCACAATAAATAAAAAAAAATTAAATTAAAAAAAAAGTAGAAAAACACTTCAGCAAGTACACATCCTAGTATCAAGCCATCAGATCAGATATTATAAAGTTCCCACATGGCTGATCCATAAACAAAGAGGTTAAATAAGTAGAAGGACAAGCATCACTCTCTGGCACCAGCATGGTAGTAATAATTTAAACAAAAGAATGTATTAGAAAAACCACAAGTTAAATGCAACAACTGTCAGTGATCCAAAAGAATAGCTTCTAGATGGCAACATAATACCCCTCTGAGATTAATCAGACAGAAGGATTTATTGAGTGAGCTTCTTTTGAGACTAAAATTAAACTTTCATGCTATTTTACTTTAAAAATAACTTTGTAACAATTTTGACAATAACTTAGTTGGCACACTAAAAGTCCACTATATTTCCTAAAATAATATTAAGAATGACTACAGGTTATACAGAGTCCCTGGGTGGCGCAAACAGGTAAGCACTAGACTACCAGCCGAGGGCAGACACTTTGAACCCACCCAGAGGCATCTCAGGAGACAGGTGATCAACTTCTGAAAGGTCACCAAAGCCTTGGAAACCCCATGGAACAGTTCTACTCTGCACACATGAGGTTGCCATGAGTCAGAAGCAACTCAACGGCAAACGACAAGAACAAGAAAGATCATACCAAGTGCTTTTACAATTACTATTTCATTTATGAAATACTACCTACATAGCTCATTTTCCCAAGGTTTTCAAAACACTTATAATAAGAAAACCCACTGCCATCTAGTCAATTCTAACTCATAGTGACCCCCACTGGATTTCCAAAGCTATGAATCTTTATCAAAGTAGACTGCCTTATCATCTTCCTCCCACAGAGCAGCTAGTGGGTTTGAACTGCTGATGTCCTGGTCAGCAACAAATGCCTTACCTACTGCACCACCAGAGCTCCTTATAACAAGAATAGTAACACTAAGTATTTACTACATGCCAAGCACTATCCTAAATGCTTTTCACATTTGTTGTTAGGCGCCGTCAAATCGTCTTCCACTCATAGCAGCCTTATGTACAGCAGAATGAAACAATGCCCAGTTCTATGCCAGCCCCAGAATCCTTGCTATACCTGAGCCCATCACTGAAGCCACTGTGTCAATCCATCTTGTTGAGGGTCTTCCCCTCTTTCATTGACCCTCCACTTTACCAAGCATGATATTCTTCTCCAGGGAATGGTCCGTTCTGACAGCATGACCAAAGTAGGTAAAATGAAGTCTGGCCAGTCTCGCTTCCAAGGAGCATTCCAGCTGGACTTCTTCCAGGACAGATTTAGCAGTCCATGGTACTTTCAGCATTCTTCACCAACACCACAACTCAAAAGCATGGACTCTTCTAGTCTTCCTTATTCACTGTCTAGCTCTCACATGTACATGAGGGGTCTGAAAATAGCACAGCTTGTGTCAGGCTCACCTTAAGTCTTCAAGGAGGTATCTTTGCTCTTCAGCACTTGAAAGAGGTCTTTTGCAGCAGATTTGCCCAGTGCTTTATGTCGTCTGATATCCGGACTGCTGTTTCCATTTCTGTTGATTGTTGAACCAAATAATATGAAGTCTTGGGCAACTTCAATCTTTTCTCCATTTATTGTGATGCTGCTTACTGGTCCAGCTGTGAGGATTTTTTTTATATATAGAGGTGTAATCCATACTGCAGACTGTAATCTTCAACCTTCATGAGTAAGTGCTTCAAGTCATCCTCACTTTCAGCAAACAAAACTGTGTCATCAGCATATCGTAGGTTGTTAATGAGTCTTCCTCCAATCCTGACATCATGCTCTTCTTCATATAGTCCAACCTGCATACAGATTGAATACATATGGGAAAAGGATACAACCTTGACACACTCCCTTCTTGATTTTAACCCATGCAGTGTCCCCTTGTTCTGTTTGAATGACAACCTCCTAGTCTATGTACAGGTTCTTCATGAGTACGATTAAATGTTCTGGAATTCCCATTCTTCTCAATGTTATCCACAATTTGTTATGATCCACACAATCCAATGCTTTTGCATAGTCAATAAAACACAAGTAAACATCTTTCTGGTATTCTTTGCTTTCAGCTAAGATCCATCTGACATCAGCAATGATATCCTTTGTTCCATGTCTTCTTTTGAAGCCAGTTTGCATTTCTGGAAGTTCTCTGTCAATATACTGCTGCAACCATTTTTGAATTATCTTCAGTAAGATTTTACTTGCATGTGATACTAATGATATCATTTGATAATTTCCACATTCTGTGGGATCATCTTTCTTTGAAATGGGTACAGATATGGATCTCTTCCAGTCAGTTGGCCAGGTAGCTGTCTTCCAAATCTCTTGGCAGAGCTGGGTGAGTGCCTTTGGCAGGGCATTCATTTGTTGAAACATCTCAATGGATATTCCATCAATTCCTGGAGCCTTGTTTTTAACCACTTCCTTCAGTGCAGCTTTGACTCTTCCTTCAGTACCACTGTTGTTGTTGTTGTTGTTGTGTGCCGTCGAGTCAAACCCAACTCATAGCAACCCCTCCTTGGGATTCCAAGGGGGTATCACTACAGAAGTAGATTGACCAACCTTCCTTATAATGTGCCACCTTCTGAAATGGATGAAGATCAACCAGTTCCTTTTGGTACAGTGACCCTGTGTATTCCTCCTTCCATCCTCTTTTGATGTGTCTTGCATCATTTAATATTTTGCCCATAGAATCTTTCAATACTGCAACTCAAAGCATAAATTTTTTCTTCAGTTCTTTCAGTTTGAGAAACGCAAAGCCTGTTCTTCCCTTTTGGCTTTTCAACTCTATATCTTTGCACATTTCATTATAATAATTGACTTTGTCTTCTTGAACTGCTCTTTGAAATCTTCTGTTCAGCTCCTTTATCTTGTCATTTCTTCCATTTGCTTTAGCTACTCTCCATTCAAGAAGCAAGTTTCAGAGTCTCTTCTGACAGCCATTTGGTCTTTTCTTCCTTTCCTGTCTTTTTAATGACCTTTTGTTTTCTTGACGGAAGACGTTCTTGATGTCATCCCACAATTCTTCTGGTTTTCAGTCACTGGTGTTCGTTCAATGCATCAAACCTATTCCTTAAATGGTCTCTAAGTTAAGAAGGGATATATCCAAGGTCATACTTTGTTTCTCATGGACTTGTTTTGTCTTCAACTTGCATATGAGCAGTTGATGGTCTGTTCCACAATCATTTTACATTTAATCCCTACCAAAAGTCCTATTTAGGTAGCAGTTAAGCACTTATCTGTTAACCAAATGGTTGGTGGTTCAAAACCTAGCAGCTGTTGCACAGGAAAAAGATGTGGCCATCTGTTTCCATAAAGATTACAGCCTTTGAAACCCTTGCAGCAGTTCTACTCCTACAGGATCACTATAAGCTGGAATAGACTCAATGGCAAGGGGTTTACTATTCCTTTTTAAGCATAAGAAAACTAAGAATAGTAAGCGGTTGAGTAGAAATTCAAATCTACTTGTAAATCATGATATGCTATATTGCATAAGAATCATCAATTGGCTTTTACAAAGATGATTCCATGTGAAACTGACTATTTTGTCAAAGTACACAAATTTATAAATGGTCATTTAATGTTTTCTTGTTTAAATTTAGTACAATAATTTAAATTAATGCTATACTACTACACAGAACAACTAACTTGAAAGACTATGAAAAAGGAACCAAAATGTGCTATGGATAGGCATCATACGATTGTGTTGGGGGGTTGAATTTTGTCCCCAAAAAAGATATGCTCAAGTCCTAACCTGTGGTACCTGTGGATAGGACCTTATTTGGAAATAGGGTCATTGCAGATGTACTCAGACACACAGAGGAGACACAGAAGGATATGGTCACGTGACAATAAAGGCAAAGATTAGAGTTATGCTGTCATAAACCAAGAATACCTGGAGTCACCAGAAGCTGAAAGAGTCAAGGAAGGATTCCTCCCCAAAGAATTCAAAGGGAACATAACATTGTTGAAGCTTAATTTTGGAGTTACAGTCTGCAGAACTGCAAGAAAACCAATCTCTATTATTTTAAGCCATTAAATTTGTTACAACAACCTCAGGAAACTAATACACTTGGTTAATTATGAGCCATTTACAGTTACGTTTACTAAAGTATCTCTGGCCTTAACTCAACATGAGGCACAATAAACACTCAATACATATTTGTTGGATGAATGAATACAAGCAGTAAGGATATTTACACATATCCCACCTTATGGCCCCAGATATTAATTCACAAATTTATCTATACTTTTAAAAAATTAGTCTGCATAGCAAGCATTTTTCTAGTCCTCTGTTATTGTAATAGCCACTCCTATAATTTTAAATACTGATTATGTAACAGACCATGATAGTAAATAATACACCATAAATTAAAACACTATCTCTAAATATCCAACTGGAGATTCTTTCACCATTTAAATTTGACTATTTTTTTAATACAGATAGTATTCCTACCTAAACTAACCTTCCTTCCATCTTGCATAGCTGAAAACCTTATTTCTTTTCCCTTGGAATTTCTACTGAATCAGATTACCACATAGAAATTATCACTTACAAAGGGCAATATTTATATATGGAACAAGTATTTAGGAGAAAAGAAGAAGAAAGAGAGGAGGAAAGGAAAATAAGGAATTTTCATATATTAGATTTCATGCAATTTTCCTGGAAGAAATATAAGGCTGGTAAATCTGAAGTATCTGTTTCCTAGGTTACCACCTCTTCTGGCATTATCTTCTACCCTCAACACTGAAAGACACACTGAAGGATCTGCAATTTTATAGCTAAACATTCAAGAATCACAAATTATTAGTAACTCACAAATTCCAATACAGCAATTCAGCTTAATAACAAAAAGTAAAACGAGGAAAAAGAGGGACAGTTGATACCCCCAACAGCTCTATTCAAGTTTATGAATGATTTACTCTTAAGGATAGCAGGACCTAATGCAAATGAACATAGAGGAAACTGTCAGCTGCACTGTCGTTTAGCCAATAGAAGCAAAGCTCCATCTTGGCTGTGCACTAGACTGCATTACAAACAGACCATACCATCGCTGCAACAGCATCCTTTCAGACAAGAGGTAGGTTTTTATGACTGTTTTTATTCTGATACTTGTCCTTATGATGCAAGAGAAAAGTATTTTACATACTAAAGACCCAAAAAAGAAACATATTCATTTCACTGTTCCGTAGGATTTATTATGAAAATATGAAGACTGGCTTGCTCTATCTGACAAGCACCCTTAACATCTGTGTGCCTTAATGGAAAATTCATTACTGTGACATTTTATATGAACCTGATCTACATCCAGACCTTAAAGTAAACCATAAGCATTTGATGTTTACTGGTTACTTGTTAATTTCATTTCTCTAAGCTATTCATTTCAGCAGTTTGTTCTGTCCTAACAAAGGATTTTTCTTAAAGAAAAATCTATACTAAAAGCAAATCCTG